CCCCAAACTCCTATAGACCCCTGAACCCTAAACCCTGAACCCTAAACCCTAAACCCTGAACCCCCTAAATCCCTGAGCCCGAATCCTCTGCAAGCTTCGGCTCTATTGACGGATGCGCCGCTTGGGATGTTATGCCCGACCCGACAGCTCCGATGCGCTGTGGGTCAAAAATTGCAGGGTTTGCTTTCACCCCAAACGACCTAACTGTTTAAGGAAGTATTGGGGGTGGGAGGGGGGGGGGGGGNNAAACCCTAAACCATAAAACCCTAACAGGGCAGGATATTGGGGGTCCGGATGGGGCTTATGGCTTACAAGGGAGTCCAAACCACAACCACCATGAAGCTTGTCTGAAGTGTAGCTCTAAGTGTCCACAGATCCATATATGGGTTTAGGGTTTAGGTGTTAGGGGTTTAGGGTTTAATCACTTCTTTAGGGTTGAGGGTTTATATATTTCTATGTATTTATGAAATACATACTTTGGCCTTGAAGTAGTCCCTACATAGGGTACTTTGGGGGATCAAGTATATACTATTTGGGGATTGTGTCTTCAAAGTCAAGATCTGGGAAATTCTTTTCAACCCAAGGAGTGCACTGTGGTGCGCCGTAAACCATTAGACCAAACCCTAAACCCCTACACCCTAAACTGCCCTAAACCTTAAACCCTGATCCCTAAACCCTACACCCTAAACCCTAGCCCTCAACTGTTGAGACAAGTCTAGGGTTTTGCATCAAGCTTTATCTCAGGCTTTAGTAAGGTTACCAAAGGTCTACTCTAACGGTTACTCTGAGGAATCTAGCTCTAGGGCTTCTTGATTGACTTGACCACTCCCTGAGAATTGAGCAAGGTTGCTCGGTTGCATTTACGGTTCAGGGATTTAGGGTTTGGAGTTTCGGGGCGTGCCGCGACCCCAACATCCAAAACGGTTTAAGGTTTAGGGTTTAGGGTTTGAAGACAGCAGAACTCTACATGATACCAAGGAGGTTAGAGCACGAGAGCATCTAAGGACCCAAGCGATAGCTAGCGCGTAGAAAGACGCCAGCCTTGAATCTTGAACCCAGAGACTGCAATATCCCTTCAATAAGGAATATATCTTAAATTATAGTAGTATCCTTAGTATGATTTAAGGTATATTCCTTTATTAAGGGCTATTGGAGTCTCTGGGAGCACAAGATCTGAATCCCAGAAGCCCGAAACCACTCAAAACCTCCATTTCCCCAATCCCTAAACCACAAACCCCAACCTAAACCCTAAGCCCGTAGCCCGAGAAGCCATAACCCTCAAACCCCATAGCTTCCATGACCCTGTTCTAATATTCTAAGCCCAGAGATTCCACAACCCCGTAATTAAGGAGTATACCTTAGCTTATACAAAATCAGGGATCCGCAATTTCTTCTAATGTAATTCAAGGTATATTCTTGAATAAAGGAATATAACTTAAATTGTATAGGGGATCCCTAATATGATGAGAGGCATGTTCTTTAATTGAAGCCCTAAACCCTAAAGCCTAAACCCTAAACCGTGAACTCTAAACCCTAAACCCTAAACCGTGAACTCTAAACCCTAAACCCTAAACCGTGAACTCTAAACCCTAAACCCTAAACCTTACTTGCTCAAGCCGCAGGACCAAATCAAGTCCGAGCGGGAGCGTCAAGGCGCCGCGTGAGAGCCTCCCGCGTTCAGGGTTTCGGGTTCCTTTAAGGGTTTAGGGTTTAGGGTTTTAGGGTTTAGGGTTTAGGGTTTAGTTCCTTTAAGGGCTCCTTTAGGGGTTTAGAGTTTAGGGTCCCAGTTTAGGGTTTTAGGGTTTAGGGTTTCGGGTTTAGTGGGCTCCTTTAGGGGTTCTTTAAGGGCCCATCATAGTATGTGGTGTTTAGGATTTAAGGCTTTAGGGTTTAGAGGGTATGGGGCCTAGGATATAGTACTCTAAGGGTCCATAGGACCCAATAATCAGGTACTCGCGTTTAGGATACTAGGTGTGCAGTTTAGTACTTGGGAGAATCTATAATAAGTGGATAAATGGACGATCCTTAAAATAGTATCTATCACTTATCCAGAGGCGTCTAAGTATCCACATAGCACGCTTTTTTTGGTCCGACAAAAGTATGATCAGAATGGTTTTTGCTACCCAACGCCTTATTTTTGGGGTACTTGGATGAGGGTAATACTGTGTCCTCAGAGAGTATTGTTTAATGTGTGGCGGTTCCTGTAACGAGTTGCAGAAGGGTTACCATACTGGGTCTTCTACGGTTTTCACATCGATGCTTCGAGACTTACCAATATTTCTCCCTAGGGCCTTGATTATAACCATAGGATCACAAGGATTGGGGCGTTTAGGGTTTAGGGTTTAGGGAACATGCTTGACATACCTCCCAGAGCCTATGGTGATGAAGATCGCTCTTCCGGTTCTAGAGTCCCAAAGGGTCCTAAGTACTTATTTGGGGGACACTTCCCCAAACCATAATAGCAATTCCCTTTATAAGAACCCTGCATTCTACTATATAGGTACTTAGGATCCTTTGCTACTTAGGATCCTTTGGGGCTTGAATGCCTAAGTATCTACTAGGGTTTAGGGTTTAGGGTTCAGGGTTTAGGGTTCAGGGTTTAGGGTTTAGGGTTTAGGGTTCAGTATATACCATACAGGTACATGGAGCCCCTGGGGATACTGCCCAAGCGCTCCTTTTCCCTCCCTCTTGCGCACGGGAGCCTCACGTAAAGGTTCATGGATCATGGGGCTTCTAGTAAGATAGGGTTTTTAATAAGGCAGCTCTTCAGTTCTTCTGCGTAATTCCTTCTAATCCCAATTAAGGTACTACTAAAGCCCATGATCCTCTAAGCAGCATCAAACCATCGCCTCCTAAACCCTAAACCCTAAACCGCCAGGGCGCCCCTTGCGCGCTCTCCCGTCGCCGACCACTCCTTGCCAACTCCGTGCAGCCGCAGCCGTGGAGGATGGCTCTGAATCATGGTCCCTTCTTTTGCTTTTGGTTTTTTTTTTAGGGCGTTTAGGGGTTTTAGGGTTTTTTGAGGGTTTAGGGTTTTGGGGGTTTAGGGTTTGTGGGGTTTAGGGTTTTTAAGGCTTGAGGGTTTGGGGCTTTGTTTCGGGTTTGGGAGACGAGACTTTTTGGTGACTAGACCCTAACCCTGCGAGTGTGTTCGCGTTTTATTGGGCTTGTCCATTAGCATCAAAATAGCCCAAAAGTCTTATATAATGGGGTCTTTGGGCCTGAAAGCCCTAAAATAGAAGGCCTTTGAGGGTACGGGTGTATGGAGCTTTGGTGCGACACGTACTGAGGGTCCTGTGGGGGCTTTGCGCGTAGATTTGGAGCCGAGTAAGGTCTGCAGTTTTGGGTTTACCAGCCGCCCCCCCAAGTGCCCTTTAAGAGAGCCCTTATGGTCCTTAATAGTGGGTATGTAGGGTATAATAGAGGGTAGTTGGGGGGTGCTGGTAGGCTTTCGGATTTAGGGGTTTTGGTTTAGGGATAAGGACTTCAGGATGGCAGGCTTAAACAGTCAGCTCAAATTCAAAGGCCTCAATATAGACCCTACGATAGACTGCTTACCTGAGACGCTATAGTTGCCTACTTTTGTTGCCACTTCGGCCTTGACTGGCAGTTGCACTTATTTAGGACACCACAAATAAAACTTGCCACCGGTCTCTTTTTCGCATCGCATGTGCCACAGAGTCTCGGATGATCGCATACTTGAGGACATAACTTAAAGATATGTTGTGTAATACATGTCTGTCACAGCATAAAGTCAACCAGAGAAGCTATAATGATCGCCCAACCACCCCTACAAGAGAAACTCACGTCCCGCATGCATCGGCGATCGGTGCCTGGCCGGCACGGTGTGCTTGGAGAAGGCCGGGAACGAGTGTGGGAGATTTGGGAGCTATAGAGGTATATGTTTTGGAGAAACGAGACCGGTTTGTGCTCGGTGATGTCGACAGGGGATTACACCTGCAGCTTCCGTTGATCAATGCAGGCTCCTGGTGATGGCGACTTCATCTTCCTGGTTGCTGTGGAGGCCAGCTGGTTAATCGCTAGAATGTTCCTGCCGGGTTGGACATGCCTTACAAGCCACTGGCTTCGATACTGCACCCAGTCAAGATCGAAACGAACCGAGCTTAGCTATAATACGCGATTGGCAGGCCTTGTCCTCAAGCCCGACATCAGCATTTTTTGGCCTGCTCGCTTTCTCTTTTTTGCTGCTCTGCAGGGGATACTTCAGGTTGCACTTCTGATGGGTTTGATAGCTTGATTGAATTATGCTTACAGGAAACATGCATGGAATAGTTGGGTAGACATAGCACGAAACATCAACATGCTGTGTGAGTAGATGTGTACATACATACATGCATGCATGCATACATACATACATAAACATACACATATATACAAACATGCATACAAACATACACACACATACATACATACATACATACATACATACATACATACACACACATATACATATATATATATGTTGGAGAGCGAGTGACAGAGAGGAACATGCATGTCCGATACATGTAGCTATACATGCTCACGCAGTGTTACAGTCTGGGATTTACATGCAAACCTCCGGAGCATTTTGGGCTTGGGGTGGAGTCCGCTTGCATTTTGTATATGTATACACGCAGGATGCTCTAGACAGGTGCCATATGTAAGGATAGTTCGACAGCTTCGTTGTAACACTTTCGGGCCGTGATGCCGCTTGGACGAGTTGCGAAGGCCTGGCAGAACCTGCCACTTTCGAAAAGCCGCCAGAAGGCGAACTTGACGTGGCTTTCTTGGGGAGAGGTGGAGCCCGAGTTAATTGGCGAGCCGAGCACGCGAGCTTTGGAGCTAAATTGTCCCGTGATCCATTGTCTCTATGAGGAACATAAGTCCTTAAAGACCCCAGCTATCGGCGACATCACGAACATCGTCCTTCGGAGTACTTGGCATTTCTGTTATGTATAGGCATTGTACGAAACAAAAGAGTCATAGTCATAGTTGTGTTGATGTTTCCTGATCGAGTTGAGGTTACCACGTTCTACGAGAAAATGGCATGGGAGGTGGCCCCGACTCAGATTTGCAACGATTCGTGGGCTGTTCGAAAACTCTTCGGCTACGCACACCGCAGGGAGTCCGACAGCCACAAACGTGAGCAAGTCCCTAGAGAAACTTGCTTCGTGAATCAGTGCAAAACAGTTTGTATATACATAGCTTCTCGATTAAAGAAGTTTGCTGGTGTTTGCTGCATCTCAGCTAGCTCAGGACAAGAAGGTGCAAAAGCTTTTCAAGCTGATTCGCCACTATCGCGACCTGGAAGATTCACCGAAAAAGTTGAAAGGGGTTTGCAAAGATCAGTCATTGAGGTATGGCAAGGACACATGCGAGGAGGAAGAGGAGGAGGAAGAGAATCCGGAGGAGGAAGAGTGCGAGGAAGATGAAGAAGTGGAAATCATGGAATGCGATGAAGAGCAAGCCGCGAAGCCCAAGCAGAGCCATGTAGTGATGAAGAAGCCAGCAGCAAGACACGCCAAAGCCGCCCCGGCCGAAAGGCCGATCCCGACGCCTTGCCGTCGCATAGCGGCGAAAACTTCGGTTGCCGATGAGGAGATTTTGTTTGTGGGGGAGAACAAGTCGTCGAAGCAGCTGGAGCTCGAGAGTCTGCTCTCGCAGATTGAAGAACTGAAGATTTCGCCAAAACCTCAGAAAACATCATTACGTTTTTTCATCGTTCCACTCAATCAACGATCGTGTTTCTTTCCGTATAGTATCATCGACGACCCTAGGTCTGGGAATTCCTCTCCAGACAGTGCAGCCAACAGTTGCTCAAGCAGCATCAATAAACAAGCTTTTAGCTTACTTGACATGATGTTAATTATGCGGTCTACTAAAGCTGCCCATATCTGTGCTGTCAGGTTCGGCTACCAAGCCTCGTCCTACAGATCCGGCCAACCCAGATGAGGCTGGCCTTAGCATAAGTTTGGATTTAGCATAAGCTTGGGTTCGTGATAAATAGCTGTCGTAATGTTGTATGATGAGTGCTGATAGGTTTCGATCTACATGGTTGCACGCAGAGCTATGTGATGCACCGTGTACGTGTGGATTTGCAATACATGTATGTATATATATGTACATATATATATATATACACACATATATATATTTTTTAATGCATGTGTGTGTATGTTTATGTTGCAATAGACTGCCCGACCTCAGTCGAGGCACTACTCACTGAACGGCCAGCATGAGTAGGGTAACAACTACAAGCAGTAAGCAAACACGGTATGCAACCAAAGCTGTATACAACGAGCTGAAGCTAAGGAACCATCATACTAGCCGAAATTACAAACCCCGATATAGCTAATGTACTAAAGGTCGAACTAGCGAATTCGCAACCAGCCAACCAACTATAACAGGTAGCTGACTACCCTGCCCGCTAGCTAGCTAGCGAACTAGCTAACCGAAGAAGGGGTTAACTAATCTATACAACCATTATTTACTATATAGCTAACTCCCCTGATCCAATTACGCAGCTTATATAATAAACGAACCGACTACAACTATATATACTTCATATGTGTACCCAAAACAAAATGTAGCTAAGTCATTATAGTGTTAGCTGTCTATATACAACATAGCAACACGAAGTAGCTTTAGGAACCCGCCAAGCTTCAGTACTAGACAAGCTTGCAGAACCCCAACCCTGGCTGGAATACTTGGAGGCGGATACCTGCCCGATGTGCATCTCGCCGGAGCCAACCTCATCGACTACCACGCCGACAAGCAACGGGTCGAAGAGAAAGGTGCTGGGGTTGTTTTGGTACATACAGAGTTCATATTCCGAAACATCTATGCCATGATAGTAGTTTATACTCCTGATGACACCCTAGAGAGGCTGCACAGATGGATGCAGTGTGCCCGCAGAATCAAGTGGACTTCCGGAAGGCGACCAAGGCGGCCATCCAGGCAGCTAAGGGCCGTGGCAAGGAAAAGGGTACAGATGGGGACACAAAAAAAGAGTGCTGTGCCAAAGCCGATGGAAAGGGGAAGGGGAAAAACAAATCCGGAAAAGCCACTGCAGCCTCTGAAAGCGCCAACGAGAGTGCCAAGCCAAGGAAGCAAAGGGGAAAGAAGGGGCAGCCGGCAAAGGAGGATGTCAAAGAGGATAGCAAGGTGGCAGCAGAACCAACAAAAAAGAAACGGGGGCCCAAGGGGCGAACGGCTGTGGAAGCGAAAGCTGAGCCGAAGGCTGCAGCTGGCAAGTCGAAAAGGAATCGTGCAAATTCGGATTTGGAACCCGTTATGGGACCCAATGGTGTGCCGCTTGGATGTGCAAAGTGCAGGTGGATTCGAAATGGATGCCAAATCTGCAGGCGAGAAGGCTTCAAGCCCCGAGGCCCCAGAGCCTAGGGCGAGCGATGTGGCCCGTGATCATAGTCATAATGAGTACTTAACATAGTCCTGTATTGAGTTTCTCGCAACATCTCTAAATGCTTCCTTCGATCGAGAGTATTAGCCCATGCCGCTTTTGTGTGTAAAGCTTGCAAAGCTGCATCTTCTTTGCACAGTTGACTCAGTGGGAGTGTGCTTTGAGCATGCCGGCTAGTCAGGAGCAGCTTTTAATTGGTGCGACATATGCAATGATGTCGTGGGCCTTCCTCCGTCTACTACGGGCTAACATATATAATACGGATTTCTATCTTCGGGAGGTAGGTTCGTGGCCCTGCATTCGCCCCATGCAATTAGACTCGGGTATCTGAGGACGATCTGTGGTAGTGCTGACAGCTCTAGTCGTGCCGTGCCGCAGAGCAAAAATCGCCGAATTCTAGCGACAGGCAAAGCTTTCTGGCTCCAGAAGATTGGTGTACTGCAAGATTATCATAATCGCTCGAACACGCCAGGTCCAATCGACATCATGAAGTTTCTCAAGGGCAAGCCGAAACGTGCCCCCGCCGTGAACCTGTTGCTCATGTGGTCTGTTGGCTGCTAGTGGGCAGATGCACAACACTGATGTGTCCATCATATGTGCATTCTGCTTTCAAAGTGATGTGCTGCAGTGCTTCAAGTGCATGTGTGGTGTAGATTGAAGCAGCATGTGGAACTTCCTCTCATGATGGCTCTCGCTTCACTCGCATGGTGCTAAATTACAATCAACCTTCAAAGTGCCGAAACCACGAAGTGCCTTGCTCGATCTGAGTGTCCAGCTGAGAACTGCTGCATGGATGGTCTTCCGAAAGCCATGCCTGTGCCATCCCGGAAGCTACGTCGTTATCTGACATGCTGTCTGGCCGGGCAGCTGCTAAGCTTCAGAAGACATCTTAGTGCATGAGTTTTAAACATTTACAAATAGTCTTCCGTAACAGACCGCTGCCAAGGTTTTGTCCTACGGGCTCATCGTGATCTACTTCGCCGACTGGGGCGAAACCAGAGTGTGCTGCTTGGGTTTCCCGGCTACTGTTATCACCTTTCTGGTGTGTTGACAAGCTGCTAGCACCCACTGTTCCTAAACCCCAAACCATAAACCCTTAAACCCTAAGCCCTATATAAACCCTAAACCCGAACCCGGAAGCCTCCAAACCCTAAACCCTATATGCCGGGTCACGGCTGCTGCCACTACTGCTCTATAGACTTTGCTACATGTTGTTGCTGCTGCTGGGCCTATGCCGAAGCTATGCTACTCCTGCACGGTTCGGGCTCCTGCTTCTGTTGCTGAAGCCTCCAGAACTGAACCCCGAAACCCAACCTTAAAGCCTCACTCAAAGCTCCCGCTGTTACCTGATGTGGACCATGACACTATTTCGGGCTGGGCTTTATGGGACGAGGTTTCGGGTGTGGGTTTATCTGGGGGTATCATTGTGCCGCAAAGAGTAGTTAGATTGCACGGTAGTTCTAGCACAATATGCATGCCCCGCTCCACCCCCCATATTTCACGCTAAACCTCCGTGAGCACCCTCAACTTCAAAAGCTCCCTTTGAACTTTGTGAAAGCCTGTAAACCACCTTAAACACCCAAAAGGCCGAAGACTAAACAACCCGAAAACACCGTCGCCCGTGTAGGAGAACGAGGTCCTGAGCAGTCGTTTTACTATAGTACTAGTGATATTAGCATAAGTAGTGGTAGTAGTAGTAGTCGTCGTCGTAGTAGTAGTAATACATATACGCATGACACACACACACACATATATATATATATATGCATGTTATATGTACATGTTATGTGCAATTATGTGCAATTGCCTTTGCCAATTGCACATAATTATCTGTACATGTATGGTGCTAACATGTCCCTGCTGGAGTCGCCCACGTCGTCGCCGTCGTCGGGTTCGTCGTCGTCGTAGTAGTGCAGTACTAGTACTAGTAGTGGTAGTGGTAGTGGTAGTGGTAGTGGTAGAGGTAGTGTGGTAGTGGCTGTAGTAGTAGCAGTCGTCGTGGTGGTGGTTGTTTTTCTGTTATCATGATAATAATAAGTAACAGTAGGTAGTAGAGTCAGTAATATTCAGAAGCAGAAAGTAGTAGTAAACAGTTGTACGTAGTAGGAAGCAGTAGTAAGTAGTAGTAAGTAGTAAGTAGCAATAAGTAGTAGTAAGTTGTAGTTTGTCGTAAGTAGTAGTAAATATGCCGCAAGGCGCCTATCATACCAGCCTTCGTGCTGAACTTGGATCGGCGAGCCGACCGACTGCAGAACATCTCTCGGGCGTTGCACCAGCAGGCGGCCCGGGTCCGGGGGTGAGTTTTGGTTTTTGTCTGGGGCGTCAAAGCTCCGGGGTGTGAAAACCCTGGCGCCGTTGATACTTCTTCGACAGCTTACGAGGCCAAGAGGACCCTTCAAAGTCCTTATGACTACCCTGTGGCAGGCTTTCGGCTTCGAGGTTTAGGACCCTGGAAGGCAGCATGTTTGGTGCACTGGTGCTCTAGCAACGGAACTGCAGTTGAAGAATTTTAAGTCAGGAATTAGAATGAATGGTGCGGTTGCGGCTCGAAGTCCTTGAGTGGGCATGTCCTGGCTAACCGCTAGATCAGTCAGACTCTGGGCGACCGTGCCAGAACAGCACACTTCGTTGGGGTATGCGTTAGCACTGATGACCATTCCACGCATAATCATCACAAGTCGGTCTGAGCAGTTCGACCTTGGTTTCAATCCAGCGACGACTGTGGCCTAATGGGTGCGATCTTAGGAGGAGAGGCGCAGCCAGAGGGCCAGAGTGAGCATGCAACAGACTTGGCCGAGTTGCCGGTTGTGGAACCGAGGACGCAAGGACGACCCATTCTCTCAAGGCTTCGGTATCCGCTCTTTGAGTTCAAAAAGTGCAAGGCGTTGATTATTGGCAACAACGACTACAGGCATCACCCACACGTTCAGCTTGCCAACTGCATCAAGGATGCAGTAAGCATTGCGGACGCCCTGAAGATCGGGCAGTTCTCGGATGCCGAGCCGTTCGAAAACCTGGACAGAAACCGCATGTGGGAGGAGATTGACAACTTGTCTGAATCCGACTCCGATTTTACATGGTTCCATTTCTCAGGACATGGTACCTTGTATGAGGGCGAGGTCCACCTCGTGCCGGTGGATTCTAAGAGGAATGCCGACAACATCAGGCTCAAGTCTGTGCTCGAGAGTGTGAGGAAGATTCGCAGAGATGGACTGCATATCTTCACTCTCGACATGTGCCAGCTGCCCTCGAGTCAACGAGGGCCAACGAATATGGAAGCAATCGAGAAGATTCTGGACCTTGAGACTGGCGTTTGCAGTCCTCGTGGTCGGCCAGACTGGCTAGACCGGAAGCTTGGTCTTCCTGATACATACGAGCATAATCACGAAGTCTGGGTATACACGGCAGGAGAATCTGGCTTTGCAGTGGCAGATAACGGGTTCTTCTCAACTGCCATCGCAACCTTTGCCAAAGGCTTCGACCTAGGTCCTGAGGAAATGACCAAACTTGTCACCGACGAGGTGATGTGCCGCAGTGAACGCAAGCAGAGGCCAGACTACCGCGTAGAGCATCCGCAGAAGTGCCGCTACATCATCACAAGAAGGAGCGAGGCGAGTCTTCGCTCTGAGTCTCATGAGCTTGCGCGTCTCTCGGGATGGGGAGATGAGGACTTTCACGAGCTGCGCCGCGCGGTTGAGGCCGAGGCAGCCAGCCGAAGCACGGAGCCTGGTGAGTACTTAGCAACGGGAATGGGGGTGGACTCCGAGCTGGTCTTTGCAATCAAGACTTACCCCAGATTCCTACAGGAGTGGAAAGTGCTTGATCGTCCTGGATGGCTTGATCGGCTGTGGCAAGACAACTTTCCTTGGAAAGTTGCGAGAGAACTCATCGGGCTCGTTGGAGGAGGTTCAGTTCTTTCCCGAGCCAGTGTGCAAGGACGAGCCAGAAACATGGTGGTATGATCTGGACAACTTCTACCATGTCATGAAGGCGGGCACGCAGAAGGAGAAAGTCGATGCATCTTTCAAGTTCCAACGAAAGGTTTGGAGGCACCACTTCCGCATTGCAACAGAGCGTCGGACACACACCTTCACAGAGAGGGGGCTTGGTTCCACAGCCCTTGTGTTCTGCAAAGTTGGTACCGAGGATGGTCTTCTCACAGCGGGGCAGCGAGAATATTTCCAGAAGGCATACAACAGGTACATGTCAAATCCCTCGCTTCGTCCCCATCTCGTTCTCTACTTCAAGCTATCGACTGACGTGGCTCTCGGGCGAATCAATGCTCGCGCACGTGAGTTTGAGAAAAACATGCTGCTGCAGTATCTGCAGAGGCTCTACTGTGCATACGACGAGTTTCTCGGCAATCATGAGAATGTCATCGAGGTCGATGCCAACAATCCTCCGGAGGACATGATGGTGGAAGTCGCGGCCAAAGTTCAGAAGAAACTGCAAGGGCGAGTGAGCCCACAAGCTTTGGAGAGCATCATGCACTGTTTCCGCCAGAGGGACTCTCCAGACGCCAGCTAAACTAGTTGCGCAGCTGTCACTGGAACCAGCCTTCGCTCAAGCTTGAGCGGCTATGGGCATGTGGGATTGGCTTCAGGCCTTGTGTGGTACTTCCTGACAAGAGGATCTACAGCATGCAGGAAAGGTTGCACTGAAGTTCGCGGCAGAACCTCACACAGAACGGGGGCTATATTCACTCGGCGGCTGCAATCTGTGCGATGCACGTAATGCACGTACACAAAGTTGCTGTGACGACGCAATTGCAGGAACCGTCGTTATACTAAGCTTCCCCGCGCCCGAGTCTTGAGCCAAACTGCTTGCCGAAAAATAGCCGAAAAGACATCCTAAGCAAAACATGTGACAATTCCTGAGTACTGCGAAACATCGTTGAAACTCAATCCTGGAGAGTTCCCCGACACCCTCGGCGTGAAGCCGCCGACAGGCTCCGTGGCTCTTTCCGAGGACCTGCCGTGTCTCCGCTCCAAACGGCCGGGCCTTTGGCGAGCACTTGAAGGCTGGATAGAGGCCCCAGATCTCCCAAAAATCCCTTTAAAAAAGGAAGACACCTTAACTCATATCAGGGATCAGGATCCGATAATTTAAGATGCATTCCTTAACTAAGGGATTTTGGAAGATCTGCGGGGTTGACCAGCAAATTTCATTCAGGCTCAAAAAATAGACTTTGTAATACAGGTGCTGGAAGGAGTCCGATTGAAGGTTCTGGGGCTTCAGTTCCAGGCCTCAGGGCCTAGATCTAGGAGTTTAGGGTTTAGGGTTTAGGGTTCCGTACAAGTAACGAAGCGTTTTTGGGTTTTGGGGTTAGTAGCGTATGGCCTCTATTCAGGGCCAGGTGGGCGTTGTGGTTCCTCATTTTCTGACACTCCCATGCCTGGGATCCCGTCAAGGGTTTCGATGTTGGTGTAGTCTGAAAAAGTCTAACATCCTCAAGACATGAGGTTGAAGCCCAGATCGAATCCTAAACCCTAGCTACAATGCCATTACAGCGATCTCCTCCATGTGTTGGGGTTCACAGCGACATGCCTGAAGTGTAGGATTTCCGAGCTTCTGGATTCGCCTCAAACCCTACACCCTAAACCCTGAACCCTAAACCCTAAATTCTAAACCCTAAGCCCTAAACCCTATACCCTGAACCCTAAACCCTAAACCCTAAACCCTGACAGTTTATGAAGGAGTCCCTGGTACCCTCGTGGCTCTGGCAACTCGCGCTGGCGCGGGACCGGGAGCAGATGCCCACGCTGGGAGGTCCACTCACGAAGGCCACCGATCTGTGTGTCTGGGGGCCAATGGTTCAGTGTTTAGGGGTGGCTTTAGGGCCTTAGGGTTTAGGTTTCAGGGTTCAGGGTCTCCCGTCAGCCCCAATTCCATACCGGGTCCCGGCGAAAGATTTGCCTCGTGATGCTAATCATGCGTCTTAAGCAGTTTTGGGTAGACTCGGATCTTGCTTGAATCTCGGCTTCTTAGTGCCTCGGGCGAAGCTTCGTGGAGAAAGCAAACTTCCAATCTCAAAGCAACCCGAAGCCCTTGATCCCAAAGCTCGAAACCCCGAGCCCGAACCCCCAGAGCCTCAAGGCTCCAAGTCGAACCCTAAACGCGAAACTCAACCATAACGCAGAAAAGGATGAACCAAATCCCTAAACTCCTAAACCCTCGCGACCCTAAAGCCTAAGCCCTGGGTAAGGCCCTCACCTTTGGGCCCGAGGTTCACAGACCAGACTTCCCGATCCCTAGGAAACGTAAGGACCTCGCAGATTGGATCCCGTTCTGAAGTCTTGCATCTGGGTTGGGAGGTTTTGGGGAGGGTGTATATTCATTCTAGCTATGTTTTCGTCGCCGGGCGTTGGCTCAACTCTACCCGAAGTGCTTGACAATGCATCGAAGACCAAAACCCACTGCCCGAAGCCCGAGACACTTAGTGTGCACTTAGATCTTTAGCTGAGGCGACCCTGCGCAATCAGATCATGCATACTTGCCTTCCGACACTCTGACTCTGCGCTGCTACACTCTGCAGAGGTCATCTTGAACTTTGCAACCGAGATCCCAACACCCTTACTCCTTCCTGCATCGTTTTGCTCCCCAACCTGTTTCATGAATATCGCGCATAAGTCTGTATAAGTCTGTCATAGTATACCCAAAGCCCTGCTAGCCTCAGTAAGGCGACTACAAAACGCCTCATCCCCCGTATCGCTGTGTTTACAAGCAAATCTTACACCCCAAACCCTAAACCCCAAACCCTTAACCCTGAGTCGCTGTCAGGGGGCCGTGGCCCTCATCGTGGGCCATGCTCGGATGTGGGAGCACTTGGTGCAGTCCAAGGCAGCCTCGGGGCCCAGGGCTGAACCTCATAGGATGAACTAGTCTGATCACCGATGTTTTTATTCTCATCGCGGTTGTTGTTACTACTTCTAGGATTCTAGGAATATATTAAGCGGTGTTCTGCTTCTTCTTCTTCTTCCTTCTTTCTTTCTTTCTGTCTTTCTTTGTGTCTTTATTTATGTATTTCTTTATTTCTTTTGTTATTTTTTCTTACTTTCTTTCTGTCATCCTTTCTTTCTGTCTTACTTCTTTACTTCTTTCTTCCTTTATTTCTTTCTACTTTCTTTACTTCTTTCTTTGTTTCTTTCTTTCTGTCTTTCTTACATTACTTGTGTTGTTATCATTGTTAGTGTTAATGTTAATGAAGTCAGATTTCACATTGAAATTGATAGGCTATTCATATATATATATATACACATGGTTATGCGTCTTGCCATAATGCTTACCATTATGAAATAAGTTCATCACGATGATGATGGTGACGATGATAATGACGAGGGTGATGGCGATGATGATGATGATGATGGTGATGATCATGATGATGATGGTGATGGTGATGGTGATGGTGATGATGATGATGAGGATGATGATGTGATGATGATGATGGTGGTGATGATACGATGGTTATCATTATTATACACGCTGTGATAATTCGCGTTTGACAGGGTTCATGATGAGTGAGAAGCACTCGTGATAGCTATCATGTAAGAAAACCGAAGGCCCTACACTGCCCCAGGTTGAACTTGATGATTTTGTTTGTTGAAGGGTTTGGTACCGTTGGCGTGCCAACGAAGCTTACAGATGCTCGGCACAGCTACAGACGTGTGAACTAAGTAGCTAAGGTGTCAAAAGCCATGACTTCAAGATCTTTCTAAAAGTGATTGTGTGTGTTGTGTTTGTGTGTGTGTGTGCGTGTTGTGCCTTGCCTGGTATTGTGGACAGAGGTTCTGCTTTTGCAATTACAGCTGTTGGCCCGTCCAATGACGGCGTCCAGAGAACACCTTTCAGAGACCCTTGACCGTAAAGTCAACCCTCAAACCGAAAATCAGTCGAACTTCAGTTAAACACCGTAAGCCATTCAACCCGAAGGTGAGAGTCCTTGAAGCAAACGACCCTGAGCCCTTAAACCCTGAACCTTCAAACCGGAATCCCTAGCCCCCAACACACTTGCACCCTAAACCCTAGACCCGAGCCTCCTGTGACACCAGTCCCTTTGTTCGAGGCCCCCTGGGGGATCTTCATGGAGGATGACCTGATGTCTCTCGGTGTACGAAGTGTCATGGGTAAATTTGAAGGGCTTAGGATTTAGGAATTCGTGGGGTTGAAGCTTTAAGAAATTCCGAAGGCTCTGCATCCGAAAGTCCCTGAACCTGCTTGTATTCGTCATATGGGAATAGTAGCCACAGCGTCAGTAGCGTCATTACACTGAATAGGGTCACTGGAAGCAGCGATACCAGCCTGGAAGCACAGCAGATGTGGACAAGTGAAAAAACGTCCCCAGTCCGAATCTGAAAGGTTCAGGGATTCTACCAAAAACCCGACGCAACGATCTAAATCCTCAACCCAGACTCGAAAGCACAAGACTAAAACTGCATATCCTAACTCAAATCGCAGCCAAAGCCTGTACCTTCAAGTTCTGTGCCCTGAGGACATTCGTAGATTCTTGACTCCAAAAACCCATTTACCCAAAGTCCCTCAATCCTTAACCTTCTACAGGCCAAACTCCCTGTACGAACGCTTCTGAAAGCGTATATGCGACACCTTATGAAAAGGAACCTTGCAGACAGCAGGACAAAACCCACCCCTAAGCCCTAAACCCGAAGCCCAAAAGCCCAGAGCCCTGGATGCCGGAGCCGCGCATTAAGAACTTAAAGCCCAAAAACATACCGATAAGACGCGAACGCCCGATGAAACTCTATGAGCCCCTAGGTTGTTTACAAGCGCTATGAAAACCCAAGAAAGTTCTCATCACCCCAAACCCCATAACCGTGAGGTCGGACTTATTACGAATAGTATCCCCTTGTAGTCCCAATCTAACTGCACACTACAGTACCTCCAAAAGCCTTGTTGCTGCCCCTTTTAGTCACCATGTTATATTCTGAAAGACTTGAATCTGGCGATAAAAAGGCCCCTATGTTAACCCTAAACCTCAGGTTCTTCCACCCTGGGCTCGAGGCGCTCTTTGGGCAGCTGGGGAATTCCCAGCTTCCCGCGCCCGGGATGCTGGGCGGCTGTTGGCGTTCCGTTTCCTTTTTTTGTGTTCTGGATGAGGGGGGGAGGGAGGGAGGGAGGGTTAGGGTTGGGTGCTTGCTTCAGCTTTTTTGGTTTTAGGGCCTTGGAGTTTGGGTGTGTCGTGGTTCTTTGGGGGTTTAGGGATGTCGGGTGGCCTACCGTATTGAAGAGCAGTGGAAGATTGAGCATGCAAGGAAAGACTGGGACTACTAAACCCTAAACCCTAAACCCTAAATGAGCCATTGAGCATGCAAGGAAAGACTGGGACTACTAAACCCTAAACCCCAAACCCTAAACCCTAAACCCTAAATGAGCCATTGAGCATGCAAGGAAAGACTGGGACTACCTTCAAATCCAAGGGGGCGACTGTCCCCAGCAGAGCCGCCCGCCACTGCACATCCTGGCGGGGACCGGCTACAACACAGGCACCATGCAACCCTACTTGCTTACCCCCCTAAACCCTAAACCCTAGATCCTAGACCCTAAACCCTAAACCCTAAATCCTAAACCCCAAGCCTGAATATGCGAAAACCAACATGCAAGGAGTACTTGGAGGTTCATGGGTAGTTATAAATGGGGTTTTATGTAGGGTAACTATACATGTTAGGGGACGTATAACCCCACTTATAACTACCCATGAGCCTCCAAGTAGACCCTAAACCCTAAACCCTAAACCTCCAAGTAGGGTTTTGAACGGGAGTTTCCGGATCCCGGGCCTGGACGTCCGCTGAACAAAAAAACACGGCCTTCGACATCTGGGGCCTCTGGGCTTCGCCCTGATGACCTTGGGTTCTAGGGTTGTAGGGTGTATTAGGGTTTTAGGGTTTAGGTTTTAGGGTTTAAGGTTTATTAGGGTTTTAGGGTTTAGGGTTTAAGGTTTATTAGGGTTTTAGGGTTTATAGGGGTTTAGGGTTTGGGGTTTAGGGTTTAGGGTATTTTAGGCAGTGTAAACGATTGGCAACTCAGTCCAACCTTTCAGGTTCGTAGACTCAGGCCTTTGCAAGGCATGTGACAGTTTGTGTGATTTTTGCCATTTCTGGGGGCAAGGCCTGTAGGTGTAGGAATCAAGGTTCGTTAGACTGAGCTTTTTTTGGCCTTCTGGCTTTAGAGGTGAAGTTGCATGCTTGTAAGTCACGTTTAGGGCTTGCTGCTTCTTGGGTCGTGGGGCTTCTGGTTAAGAGCTGGGGTATGCATTGTTTTGCGATGCCTCAGCACGCCTATGGCCTTGAAGGCCTTCCAACAGCCTGGTGCCCTCTAGGCTCTAGCTTCAATCCCGAACCCCAACCAATGACCCCTTATTCCGGTTCCCTTACAGGGATTGTTCTGAACTGAGGCGTGCCCGTCAACGTACCTACTGACGTTGCTGGTGTGAGTGTGACAATGGTTTGGCTCGTGCCCTCGTGTTCCCTGAGGCATGTACATCCTCACCATCGAAGCAGCCAAGCGCGCTATTCAGGCCCCATGAGTTTAAACTACCAGGAGGGTTTAGGGTTTAGGTGATATTGTAGACCTGCGTGTCCTAGGTTGCGGGTTCGGAGCTAGGCTTGTCTCGGAGCTTCAAAGCCGACAAGGCCCATTTTCCGATGGTGAATGAGCAGCTGGACAATCCAGAGAACTTTCTGCGCAGCCAATGTCGCGGGCACAGGGTCTGTCGCTGATTTGAACTTCATGGTCTTGCTGTTGTCAGGCGCTGGAGCCCTCAAGTACATTTGGCCCTTCACTCCGAACTCCATAAACCTCGTGAGCCCCAAGGCATAAGGGTTGAACTTTGAATTGCATCTCTTCCCCCAAATCAACCAGGACAGCAGTAGTTCCCTGTACTGGGGTCCTCTTATGGATCCCGGAAGAGTGCTGTGAAACAGTCTGCGCCCGTCTGCTCTGCTTTTTCTCGCGGACAGCTTTACTTCCCGACTCCAAAAACCCATTTCCTGAGCCAGGGCCACCCACGAAGGCTGAACCAGAAACCGCAAGGGGCACAAGCTTGACTCCTAAACACGAAAGCCCAAGTTCCCTAGTACTAAATCCGAAAAAGAAGTAACCACAATAAAAAGCAGTGGTTGTACTGCAGCAGCGAGAGTCGTCGTCGCCGTCGCCCCCGACCGTGCCACAGAACATCCGGCCCCAAGGTGTTCTGCAAGGCCGTAACCTAGTTGTGCCACAGTCGAGACAGTTATGACTGCTATTCCTACCCCCGACTCCCTGCATTCCCACCGCGACCCAACTCCCAACTATCCCTAACTAGCAATACTACTTAAGACTCACATCATGAAAAGTCTAGGATCCCGAATCCGAGGCCCGGCTGCAGCCCAACAGCACGGATCCTTGGTCGACAGCGATGTGCAGATCCCACCGAAGGAAGGGTACGGCGGGTTGCTGAAACGACTTTGAGGAAGACTTTCGGGGTGTCGCTCGGGATATACCGACAGTCCCAATAGCAGTGACCATTTCAACGCGAGGGCAGCGTGTTCGCCTCAGGGCCTGACAGGGAGGGTGATGTGATGACAGTACCGGCTCCCCCACAAAGACCGGAGTTGGAGGTATTTGATTGTGGAACCTTTTCCTGCATTCTGAAGCTGGAAATCCGAGCTCAAGGGGACTTTTGACGTCGGGATTAGGGTTCAGGGTCCAATGTTGGGATTTCAATCGCCCTGAAGCTTTGCATTTCCTGAGATGAGCCCAGTGCGGACACACCTTCAACCCATTACCTCTCCTCGTCATGCCGAAGGACGATGAGGGTTTTGGGGCTTAGGGTAGGGCCTGTAGAGTTCAGGGCTTAGAGAGGTTAGGTACCAAGACCCCTTTTAAAAGCCCTCCTTCAAACCATTCTAGAACTCTCGTAGAATCCCCTGACGGAGCCCTTTTCGAACCCTTGGAAAAAACCTCTTGAGAGGCGGCGATCTTTAAAGAGGAGCCGGTGATTCCGGACTGCCCAGTGCTGGCGAAGGGTGAGATGTTGCTACCGGACCTCTTGGATCCTGAAGCCAGCGATCTAGGCTTCAGGGCTTAGGGTTCAGGGGGCTTAGGGGTTTAGGGTTCAAGTTTCAAGGTTCAGCGTTCAGGGTTCTTGGGCTTTTGGTTTAGGGTTGAGGGCTCAGGGTTTAAATTCAGCTCAGCCCGAACTTCGACTTTCGATCATCCCTTGCCAGCGCCCGTGCAAAAAGGACCCGTGTTCACGGGAGCTTGGTTTCTTCAGGGTTCAAGTGCTGTAGGGCTTAGGGTTCAGAGTTTTGGGATCAGGGCCCCCCACAAAGCCCAGGTTTCCGGCGTAAGCTGTTCTTCGTCTTGCTTGCCATGTTTCCGGGGCCTCTACTTGCTCCTGCCGTCTTTGACATACGCCCTCTGAAGCCCCGAAGTTTCAATCAACCCCAAGCCCTAAACCCTAAACCCTAAAGCCTGAAAAGCCTTAAACGCACTAAAACCCTAAACCCCTGAACCGCAAAGGAGCTGCATCCCGCACACCACGCCAGAAACCAAAACCCCAACTCCCACAACGTTCCCAACACCTTCCTGGAGCTCTGGTGCCACACAGGTCCAGAGAGCACCGAACCCTAGGAAGCCCAAACCCTAGCTCTTAAGGATTCCAAGCTAGCTTCATGCAAAAGCCCTTTAAGGCCGGAGAAAGCCATCGAACAACCTAGAAAGGCCGTGACCACACCCTACCGATATCCTTCCTTAGGGCTCCTTATTATGAATTATGCAACAATATACCCCCCAAAAAACCCTACTCTAATTATTCTCAACGCATTCCGCCGGACGAGCCTGGCCCTGCTAATGGGGGAAATGGCCGGGTCGCCCACGCAGCGCCCCGGGCACGCAGGCACACAGGGGCTTTGGGGGCTTGTTGTCAGCAGGGCTCAGGGTCGAGGCCTGCTGGGGTAAGGGCTTTTGGGGGGTTTAATTAGGGGCTTGGTTAGGGCTTTGGGCGTTTCGGTTTAGGTTGCAGGTTTTTTGGGTTTGGGCTTGGGGCTTTAGGGTTTAGGGTGGAGAGCCGCTTTTGAGGCCAGCATGGTTCGAACGGCAGTATGTATGGTTCTGTTCTGTTACTACAGTTGTACACAGGTGAGGTTGCATGCAGCCTGTCTGCGTAGTAGAGTCTCAATTGCTTCGCAAGTTTCCTGAACCCTAAAGCTACCCAAACCTGTGCCCCCTGGACCCCACATGACAAAAATCCATCCGCTAAAGCTTTTGCTTGCATGCCCCCCCAAGTTAGGAAGATGTTGAAGCCTTCCGTCTTCCGTTGCTTGCATTTTTCGGGACACCTTTCCAGGGAACGCCTTAAAAGTCGACTTGCAATCTGTTTGCCAAGCTAGGAGAGGGGCGACTAGAGTCCAGGGAAGCATGGTAAGTAGCGTTCCGGGTTCAAAGAGCTTTCTGGTTCCGCGCATAGCGGCCCTTTTCGGGTGTTTAGAGGTTTAACCCGAGTCTGATGGATAGGTTCCAGATCCCCTGGCAGGCGGCCATGTAGCCTCCGTCTCTTCAGGCGCTGAGGAGAAGGCCCGACAGCACTGGCATCAGCACCAGCAGCACCAGCAGCACCAGCAGCACCAGCATCAGCAGCACCACGCACTTCGAAATCGGCATACTCGACACAATATACTATAGCGGCTTTTGCCCCCCTTTTCTATTTTTGGGGCTCCTTATTACCCGGTCATCCAAGGTGCTCTTAAAACCCAGTTCATCCTGAGCTCTGCCTCCCCTTGCATCCCCTCTTATTTTAACTTGAAGGATCCGGTGGCTTGCGTAGTAAATGCTGCTATATGCAGGATCACCCGCAATTTTCTTTACATAAATCCGCCCCGAAACTTATAAGTATGGTTCTCCGAAGCCACACTCCGCGGGCCGGCACGCTTCATGGTGCTTGCGCAATGCTTGGTTTAGGGACTGGGGCTTGCGGCACGTTAGATTTTTGGGTTCGTAGATTTGTGGTTGAGGGTTTTCGAGCCTGTGGAGCCTATGATCCATTCTCACGTTGAAGATCCGAAGACCGAAGCCCAATCCCGTAGTTTTCTCTGGGCTGAACACTGGCCGTCCACTGCCTCGAGGTCCATGACAGCTCAGATAACGCCCGAAACCTTGTAGCCTAGACCTTTGAAATAACCTCAACGTGACCCACGCGGCAGGATTGCACAATGTGCGGGCGCCCGGGCGGGTAGATCTCTTCGCTACCATTCTGCCTGTTCCAGTATGGACTACTGTTAGAGCTTGGGGGTTCCATGGCATTTTCCGGGATTTGTAGGCCTTGGGTTGTAGGCTTTGCAGCAGTGGATTCAGGAGTTTCGAGGTTTCCACACTCCCAAAAACCCTGAACTGTACAACCCAACGCATAGCACCGAAGGGGGGCAGAATTACCACATTTCACTGTACAGTTTGCATGTCCAAGAGGTGGGTCAGGAAGGTTTCAACCGCCTCTGCTGCAAAGACAGCCTCGACTGGAATGAGCTCCTGGCATTCCTCGAGCTGAATCTTCGTGAAGAAGGACTCCTCCGACAACCATCCGGACCGATGCTGCAAAAGCTGTGACGGTCAAAACGTATTGGTGCTTCAGCTGATGCTCAGCTCAGCTGCCACATTAAGATTGGCAGGAGACTCTGGCAAGGGTCAGCAAACCGTGGAGCCATGACCTATGGAATGAGTTTTGGTCCTGACGAGCTTTCAGCGAAAAAACCAGTCTCATTCTAAGCCCTCAGTAGATGTTGGTTGAGCTTCGGGGCTTTGGGGTCCGTACGTTTAGGCTTTAGGCATCATGGATTGAAATTCAGGAGTCGAGATGTCGGTTCTACATGTTTTTGGGTTGTCTTATGGGTTTCAAAGGATTCTTTCTGGGTTTAGGACCCCAGGCGCTAGGCTATGGGACTATGGTGTTTTTGATGAAAGCCTTGGATTCCAGGCATAAATGTGCGAAGCCTGGAGCGACAGTTGGGTTTTGGAGTAGAGCACATGGAGCCGGAAGCATGTCAGTTCAGTTCTAAAGACGAAAGATGTCCCAGCAATCCCCAGCACCTTAACCTTAAGCCCTAAATCTTGCCCGAAACCCCGTGACCCTCCAAGCCCGGCTCCTTTTTTTAAATCCGTAACGCTTCCTGAACCTAAGCCTATAGAATCTTGGTAGACCCTTCAAGCAAGCCCCACGTTACTTAACCGTAGTTCCCTAGCAGCCCCAAGCCCCAAAACTCGGTGCTGCCGAGGCCTCCAAACACGGCATCTGCGGAGCGCAGACAAAAGCGGCTCCGGCGTCTGCGGGCCGAAAAGGCTGGGACTTGGTTTGATGTAGAAGCCCGAACGAATACCAGTAAATCCCATATAGCATTCCTTTCATCAACCATAGCGTAATGCGGTCATCCAAGACGAAAGCCTATTCTGGTTCTGAAGGCCTCTACCTTAATTCAGGCCCCTATGTTAAGGTTTGGGGGGTTTTGCTGTATGTTCCTAACTGGTTAGACTCTGGTCTTATCTTCGGCTCCTGAGCCTTCGAAAGCTCTGGCATCTAGGGTCAGGGCTTTGTTTTCTTTAGGTTTTTGGGGGTGTGGATTAAGGCCTTCGGGATTTTTGAGTGTAGGTTTTGGGGTGTAGGATTTGTGTCTTCAGGGTTTTAGGGGATCTGCGGAGCTCTCCAGGCATGTCCGACGAAGTCAACCACACTGCCCGCTTCCTTCGACCCACAACCTGTAGCCCCCGAATGCGACGGGAAGCTTTGAAAGGTCCAGGTGGTGCCACAGAGGTACCTGTTCATCAATACATTTGGGGGCCTTAAACTCAAACCCCGACAAGTTCCTTTAACACCCCCTTTTTACAACCTTGTCTTACGAAAAAAGACGTTTGAAATGCTAGGAAGCACCACGACAGTCTGGAACACTCGGGGCTCCGATCTCCCTAGCCGCTTTGCCCTTTTGCCCTAAACCCCAAAACCCAAACCTAAACCCTAAGGCCCTAAACCCTAAACCCTAAACCCCTAAACCCCTAAACCCTAAACCCTAAATCCTAAACCGTAACCCCTCGAAGGAAGATCTTCTCGCCGCCCTTCGGACGAGCCGGCTACGCGCCCGTGCCCTAGAAAGCGGGTGGGAGAGGCTGCTAGAAACAGAGGGGCTCCATGCATGACATCAGGCTTTGGGTGTAGGCTTTAGCGGTTAGGTTTCATTTTCAACTCTTCCACCTTCAGGCGAAGTTGAGTGATCAGGTAAACAGGGTTGATGCCAAGTGCCTTTCAGCGACGGCCAGACCCGGATGCTTGATCATCTGTGAAGGGTTCGAGAGGTCCGGGAATAGTCTGCCCCTGGGTTACCCAATAGAGGGTGTGGGCTTGCCACCATCATCATCATCATCACCACCGCCAGGAGCAGCACCAGCACCTTCATCAGCATCGGCATCGGCATGGTCGTGGTCATGGTCATCTTCATGTTCATGCTCCTTCTCTTCCTCATCGGTCATCGTTGTCGGTTCTTGTCGTCATCATTATGCTCGTGACGGTCGTCTTGGCTTGGTCAGATGCTCGAGGCACTGGCCCACTACCCCACCCTCCCCAAAACCGCACCTTCTTCAAGCCAATCACAAGCCCTCTGAATCATAAAACCCGAAACTCCAATGCCAAGCTCTCTAAACCGCAAAAGCTCTAAGCCCTAAACCTGCATTCCGATAATAAACCCTAAACCCTAAACCTATGTTCCCTAAACACGCCAGGTCAAACAGTTGGAGGCAGCTCGCGTCCTCTTTGCGACGCCGACGGCTGAGGCGCCAGACAGAACTGGTATTTATAGTATAGCAGACCGCAAAACCCTATTCCAATTATTAAGGCCCCTACATCACCCTTACGTTTCCTACAAGGATTCCTGTAGGGATTTCGGTAAAGCTTGGAATTTTAGGGAGCTTTGAGTTTGAGGTTTAGGGAGCTTTGGGTTTGAGGTTTAGGGAGCTTAGGATTTGATATTAGGTTTAGGGGGCAGGGAGCTTTAGGTTTTGGGTGGAGGGCTGAGCGTTTTTTGTTTAGGGAGCTTTGGGCTATGAAGAGTC